AGATCAATTAACACAGCAGCTTCAGGAGAGGAATATCACTGGTTAATTACTTCCTTTACTCTGTTCCTTTATCATTTTTTAGCAAATTCCCTGAAATTAGGGCTTGTTCGATTAGCGTCGTTTTCTGCTGAAATTGAGTGATTTGTGGCCTAAATTATCTCAATTAGTGTGGTGCGGTACAATCTATACTGTATTCAATGGCAATTGATGACGAGATCTCGACTTCAAATCCTCCTATGGCGACTACAAGTCAGGCTCAAACATTGAATTCTCCAGATCTGGTACATCACAATCACCCTCTGTACATTCATCCTTCAGATACACAAGGTTCTATTCTTATCTCAATTCAACTTCAAGATTCTGAAAATTACTCAATTTGGAGTCGGTCAATGAAGATTGTGTTGCATGGTAAAAACAAACTAGGTATGAATGATTCCTATGAGATGTCCAGAGTCAATCAAACATGCAGAACTTTATCAGTTGCAAAAGCTATATAAGTTTTTAACAGGTCTGAATGATTCCTATGAGAATGCAAAGGATCAAATTCTTATGACAAGGACTTTACCAAACATAAACGAAGCATATGCTATGATAGTGAATGTAGAAAGTCAAAGGAGAAAATGCAGTTGTGGAATTAATGCTAGCATTGGTATTGATGGCAATGATGCTACTACACTACTAAGCAACAGAGGAAACAGCAATGGTAACAACTCTGTGGTGGTAACATCAATTACAAAGCTAGGACAAATTACAGCTATGGAAGGTCTGCACTTCAGTGTGACTACTGCAAGCTTAAAGGTCACACAATGGATAACTGCTACGAGCTGCATGGATATCCAGCTGATTTCAAATACAGGAAGAAGTGAGGCACTCCAAATACTTATGCTAACAATGTGTGTGGTGCAGAAAATTAGGGATCTGAAGCTCAAGGATCATCTCAGCAAACATCACCTATCTCTAATACAGCACCACCAGCTCCAGTTCAATTCTTCATCACTTCAGAGCAATACAATCAAATTCTGCAAATGCTGAACAAAGGAAAAGAGGGAGAACCTGTGGCTAATGCAGCTCAAATGGGAACAACAGGTATTCCTACTGCCCTAATGTCTAGTCTAGGAGACCATAACTGGAAAGTAGACACAGGGGCTATAAATCATATGGTACATCAGTTAGGTTTGCTTCACAAATTCAAAGAACTGTCACAAATGAGTAAGAATAAGGTACACCTACTTACTGGAGAGCAAGTTACTATCACTAAGACATGAGAATCTCATATATTTCAGGACAAGACAATTGGAGAAGTATTATATATACCTGAATTCAAATATAACCTATTATCAGTATCAAAGATCACCAAGGAGTTACAATGTTGTGCAACATTCTTTCCTGATTTCTGTGTATTTTATGAACTCTTAAGTGGAAAGGTGATAGGGATTGGTAGAGAAGAGGATGGCCTGTACATTTTGAGGAACAGAGGAAACTCAAATTCACAGCAAGTCTCTGAGAATAAGGATGTCATCAATCAATCATCTGCAAATACCATTTCCAGTTCAATAAGTGAAGATAGTTCCAAAAATAAAACTAAGATTGTTGATTTGTCTCTTTGGCATAGAAGACTAGGACATGCTCCTTTAAGAGTGTTGAGAAATATTGAAAGCTTGTGTAACTCTCAGCTGAATAATCACATATCCTCTGTATGTCCTATTGCTAAATAGGCAAGACTACCCTTTCTTCTAAGTACTACTTGTTCTGCTAAGCCTTTTGATCTTGTGCATGCTGATGTATGGGGTCCATATAAGGTTCCCACTCATGATGGTAAGAGATACTTTTGACTCTAGATTTCTCTAGATATATATGGCTCTTCCTAATGCCTACTAAAGCAGAGTCTATTGTAGTGCTAAGGAACTTCCTAATATATGCTAGAACTCAAATTGGCTATGGAGTGAAATGTCTTAGAACAGATAATGGTTCAGAATTCTTCAAGGATCAGATGAAAATTTACTTAAGGAGTGTGGGACTGTACACCAAAGTTCTTGTGTGTATACACCACAACAAAATGGTGTTGTAGAAAGGAGATATAGATATATCCTAGACATGGCAAGAGCTTTAAGGTTTCAGGCATTTGTACCCTTAAGGTTTTGGGGAGAGTGTGTATCCACAGCTGTATACTTACTCAACAGATTGCCTACTGTGTTATTGAAAGGTCAGTCACCTTTCCATAAATTGTTCCACAGAGCTCCTTCACTACAGGATCTCAGAGTATTTGGTAGCATGTACTATGCTACCACTGTCAAGGGGGTGATAAGTTTAGTCCAAGAGCAATTCTAGCAGTTCATCTTGGATATTCCACAACTCAGAAAGGATATTATATCTATGACCTAACCTCCAAGGAGTTCTTTGTAAGCAGAGACACTGTCTTTCAAGAAGACATCTTTCCCTTCAAGCACATGAACACTGGCCTTTCTCCTATGTTCCCTGTGGTGCAACTAGTTGAACTTGATCCTCCTATTGTGTCTGCTCCATTGCATTCACCTCCAACCTCCACTTCTGATGATGCTTCCCAGCTTTTCCCATCATCTTCTGTCAGGGATCCCTCTCCTCAGCCAGTACAACTTAGAAGATTCTCAAGGGAATCAAGACCACCTGTATGGATGGGAGATTATGTTGTCCAACAGAAGTCCTCATATCCATATCCACTATCCAACTATGTGATGTATGACCACCTCACTCCTGCCTATAGGTCTTCATTAGCTGCGTATTTAGCAATTGTAGAACCCAAGACCTATGTTGAAGCCAGTATTAATCCACTCTGGGTGGATGCTATGAAGTCTAAGATTTCAGCTTTTGAGAGCAATAATACTTGGACAATCTTCCTCCAGACAAAGTTCCTATAGGCTGCAAGTGGGTGTTCAAGGTCAAGTACAAGTCCACAGGAGAAGTGGAGAGATATAAAGAAAGGTCTATAGTGGCTCTTGCGTCTGCTTCACATTGGTTTGTGTTTCAAATGGATGTTCATAATGCATTTCTGCAAGGTGATCTGTGTGAAGAAGTTTATATGCAAATTCCTGATGGCTTTTCAAGCCAGCGGGAGTATCAGAAGGTGTGCAAGTTAAATAAGTCCTTGTATGGACTTAAACAAGCTCCTAGACAATGGAACTTAAAGTTGACAGAAGCATTGACNGACCTAGGATTTCTACAGTCACAATATGACTATTCTTTGTTGACACACAGGAAGGGAGCAAAATTTATGATTGTGCTTGTCTATGTTGATGATTTGCTGTGACTGCAATAATCTAAACTTGATTGAGAAGGCTAGAAAGGACCTGCGCGAGAGCATTGTTAAGATGAAAAGACTTAGGGGAACTGAAGTACTTCCTTGGCATAGAGTTTTCAAGATCAGAGAAAGGCATCCATATGTGTCAGAGGAAGTATGCACTTGAGCTGCTATTTGAGACTGGTCTATCAGGAGGAAAACCAGCACTCACTCCACTGGAATTTAATCACAAGCTTACCTCCATAGAATTTGATAAGGTGTTCAACAAGGAGAATTTGTCTGATGACAGGTTACTTGAAGACAGAAGTGGTTATCAAAGAATAGTGGGAAGACTGTTGTACTTGACCATGACTAGACCTGACATAGCCTTTGTGGTACAGGTTCTGAGTCAGTTCATGCATGCTCCCAAGCAATCACATCTAGATGCTGCTATGAGAGTTCTCAGGTACATTAAAGGTAATCCTGGTCTTGGGTTATTTCTACCATCAACTGGCAATCAAAAGCTGGTTCCCTTTTGTGATTCAGATTGGGGTTCTTGTGTAGAGATAAGAAAGTCAGTCACAGGTTATGCTGTGAAGTTTCTTGATGCCTTAATCTCCTAGAAATCAAAGAAGCAAGGAACAGTTTCAAGAAGCTTAGCTGAAGCAGAGTTCAGAAGCATGGCCACTACTGTTGCAGAGATAAAGTGGTTGGTTGGATTATTTGAGGAGTTGGGAGTATCAGTTGAGTTTCCGGTTCAACTTCACTGTGATAGCAAAGCTGTAATTCAAATTGCAGCTCATCCTATTTTTCACGAAAGAACCAAACACATAGACATAGACTATCACTTTGTAAGGGAAAAGATTCAAGAAGGAATGATCCAAACTCAGCATACTGGTACAAGAGAGCAACTGGCAGATATCTTCACCAAGAGTCTATGCAGTCCACAACATGATTACTTACTTTGCAAGCTGGGAATGAAGAGTCTGTTTTCATCCCTCAGCTTGAGGGGGAGTGTAGAAGGAATAGATGTGGTGTCTAGTAGTTAATTTAATATATTGTAATTAGGTGAAGTTAGTTGATAAAAAGGGTAAGTTAATTAGTTAGTTGTATAAATAGAAGTTAGTGACACTTGTACAGTAGCTTTCTGAGAATCAGTTAGAACATTTTCATTTCTAATACAGAGAATGGAGCTTCTCCTTCTTCTTCATCGACTTACTTCCTCTTTTGTCATGGCTGACTAGTTCAACAACAAGTGAAAAAAAAAAAGATAGAGAAGATGACAGATCCTTGCTCCCAGTGCTTCTTTTTATTTTGTTGTTTAACCATTTAATACCTAGTAACTATCTCTCTATAAACTGGATTCGCACCATGTAAAATTTGTTAAAGTGAAATCATTTTTTATTAGAAATTTCTCTATCTCTATAACTTGAACTTGAGACTTCTAATTAAGAATGAAAGAATTTTATGCGGACCAACATAACGATTGTTAATAGTAACTCTTTTTTCCGATAAGAATAATGTGTCAAACATGAAAGTTGGTCTTTAGTGGTTTGGTTGGTCTAAATTCTTCTGCTCACTATGACTTTGCTCCATTAACTAATCACAGCATACTCATACTTACCGTAAGTCGAAGCCAGCTAATTATCCCTTAAGACATCGACCTCACACCAACCTCTACTTTTCTTCTTAATTACCATACTTACTGTAGCTGCACCCCCCTACTCTTCCACCGCCCAATATATATTCACAAATTTCTCACACTCTTCTACTCAATAGCTTTATTTTTTTCTCATTTTCATTCACTATCTCTCTATTCACAAAACATCTATTATCTCCCGTCCAAATCTCAGGCAACTGCATTATCTTTCTTGAAAACTAAATTCATAAAAATGGGCTATGGCCGGCTAGGAAAACCCGACCCTGGAGAAATCTCCGGCAGAGACATGATTCCTAATGATATTCCAACTCCCAAATCCCGCAGTTCTAAGCTTAAATTCCTCATCATTTTTGCCACTGTTCTCTTAATTGCCTCTGTTATTTCAGTAGCTGTTTTGGTCGGTGTTCGGAAAAATTCCGGAAACAGAATCGATAAACCAAGTCAAGCAATGGCGCGTACCTGTAGTCGCACTCTCTACCCATCTCTTTGTCTCAATTCGTTAATTAATTACCCTGGAGCTAAATCTGCTTCAGACAGTGACCTCGTTCACATTTCTGTCAATTTAACACTCCAGCGCTTTGGTAAAGCACTTTATATATCTTCTGACATTAACAACCTTGAAATGAACACTCACATAAGATCAGCGTACGATGATTGTCTCGAACTGTTGGAGGAATCAGTGGACCTTTTGTCTCATTCTTTGAACTCTGTTTTCCCCGGCGACGACGGCGGTAATTCTCCGGCGGGGTCCACACAGGACGTGATGACGTGGCTGAGCGCAGCTCTCACGAACCAGGAGACGTGTACGGACGGTTTCGCTGACGTTACCGGAAACGTGAAGGATCAGATGAGTGAGAACCTTAAGGACTTGTCGGAATTGGTGAGTAATGCTCTCGCCATTTACGCCGCCGCAAATGGCGACGATGATTTCTCCGGGATCCCGATACAGAATCGTCGGCGCAGATTAATGAATTTGGAAAAACATCATGATGATTTTCCTAAATGGTTGTCGAGGAGAGACAGAAAATTGTTAAACAAATCAGTGTCGGCGATTCAAGCCGACATAATTGTGGCAAAAGACGGTAGCGGGACGGTGAAGACGATAGCCGAGGCGATAAAGAAGGTGCCGGAAAAGAGTAGTCGTCGGACCATAATTTACGTCAAGGCGGGAAGGTAAAATTCAGTCTATTTTTCGTAAAATTAGTTGGAAAAGTGAAAAAAAACTTTTTGATTCACTTTTTAGTAACGTATCTGATTCCTTTTCAATCTCTTTGTTTTTCACCTACGTGGCAACTCACAGTAACTTAGAGGAGTAGCGTTTTCTTCATTTCTTTGTCGTAGTCATTAAGCAATTTGACTTCATATTTTTAATCATTTTGGCATTTCTTATTTTGTAGTAAAACTTTCAACGCTCACGTGAACTTTTATTCATATTTTGATTTGATTTGATACTCAGCATAGTCGTCTTTTACCTAACTATTACTGCCTAAATTCTAGAAAGAATAACGGAATTCCAACTATAAGGTTGAACCGTATAGTTTTCAATGTTAAATCAGATATTAATTCCTTAATTTTTGATTAAATAAAGTTTATGTATTCAAAAATTGCTTTAATTTATATTTGACAGGTATGAAGAGAATATGTTGAAGGTAGGGAGGAAGAAAATGAACGTGATGTTTATAGGGGACGGGAAGGGGAAGACAGTGATTACAGGAGGCAAAAGTGTAGCCCAGAACATTACAACATTCCATACAGCTTCTTTTGGTAAAATTCTCCACCCCCTAAAATCTTATTTATTATTATTGGCTCCACTTTTTTATTTTTGTGTATCACGGAAATTAAATTGGGAAATATGGTAGGTATGGGGCGATACTGGGCTATGCAGAGCATGTGGTAGAAAACAACACGTGGGATGTCATTGAATTCTTTTAACTAATTCTTAATTAAAAATCTCCTAGCTTAGCCTAGCCCCCTTGCTGGGACTTTTTCGGTCTTTATTATTTATCACTTAATTATGATAAATAAGTAGTTCTTTCCTTGTCGCGTCTTTTATTTTTGTACGATTACGCATTTCACGAAAAAGAAGAAGATACTAACATATAATTTAATTTTGTAAAGGCATACTCAGATGTATAGCAATTGGAGTTCGTCAGAGTAGTGATTTATGGCAAGAAGAATTTTCTTATCCTTTTATTCATTGCAAGATTGATTGGGTTTCTTCTGCCAGTATTAGGGATAGCGATATGACCTAAATAATTAGGTGGCCACAATTTAAAGAGGGGGGGTGGGGGGAGGGGGGTTAGGTGGAGTCATGACTCATTGGCTATGTCATTTTATTCTCTAAAATCACCTTTGTGTTTAACTTGGTTATTTTGTCACTTTTAACATTAGAATACTATGCTTTTACCGCTGACAATGTTATATCGTCATTATATATGTTGGTTAAGGCCTTATTTGTTTGCACTTACTGGAGATCTGAATCTTGATCATTCAGATCTCAAACATTAAGTGCGTTTGTTTTTAAAGTCTGAATCTTAATTATCCAGATCTTAATCGTTAAGTGTGTTTGTTTGTTTTTTTTTACTTCACAACCACTTAATGGGTCTGAATAGATCTGTATCATTAAGATGTATAACAGAGACTTAATTTCATTAAGATGCTATTATCCATATTCTGTCGTCGCCACCTACCATTATCAACTACCACTATGCCACCGACCACCACCATACTCAACCACCACCACCATCATCCTCAATTATAGCCGCCACCATTATCGACTACCACCACCCTCCATCCCCACGTCTCCCATCACCATCATTCTCAACAACAACCAACACTCATCCACCTCAAATACCACAACTAACCATCCCATCACCATGAACAACCATAGCTGGCACCGCTCATCATTATAAACTATCACCACCGACCACCATCTTCTTCAATCACAACTACCACCACCACCACCCACCATTATTAATTATCACCACCCACCACCACCATTCTCAATCATAATAGCTACCATAATAGCTACCACTACCAATCACCACTAGCTACTATCCTAAACTACCACCATCAACCAAATCTACCACCAACCACCGTTTCTAGTCGGCATTCACAAGCACTATTGTTAGCCATAACCACCAGCAACTATCTTATTTTAAAAAGCTATATATTTTATTGATGGAATATTAGATTAATTAGTATTTTATTTGAATTTTATGTTTATTAATTTTCAAATAAACGTAAATTTTATACATTCAGATGTTAAAAATCAAGCAGTCTTAATCGTTTTGTATTCAGATCTTAATAGACATATTAACATTGAGATGTGCATTCAGATTCAGATGTCTTAATCTTGATACATATCTTGATATTGAGACGTGCATTCAGATTCAGACGTCTTAATCTTAAAAAAAAAAAAAAAAAAAATGAGGCCTAAATCTCCTTATTCTCTGACGATCTTTTGGAGGATTCGACATAGGTACACTAGTTTTTTAGAGGATCCCAGCAATATAGGTCTTATTATACAACAATTTATTTCAAAGAAGTTAATTGAATTTATTAATGAACAGCGGCAACTGGAGCTGGTTTTGTTGCAAGGGATATGACATTTGAGAACTATGCTGGACCAAGCAAGCATCAAGCAGTAGCCCTTCGTATCGGAGGTGATCATGCCGTGGTCTTTCGCTGCAATATTATTGGATACCAAGACACCCTCTACGTGCACTCACAGCGCCAATTCTATCGCGAGTGTGATATCTATGGGACGGTGGATTTCATCTTTGGCAATGCAGCAGTGGTCCTCCAAAACTGCAACATCTATGCTCGAAAGCCCATGGCCAATCAAAAGAACACCATCACTGCCCAAAACAGGAAAGACCCTAATCAAAACACTGGCATTTCAATCCATGCTTGCAAAATCCTAGCAACACCTGACCTCGAGGCGTCCAAAGGAAGCTTCCCTACATATCTAGGTCGACCATGGAAGATGTACTCGCGAACAGTCTACATGTTATCTAACATGGGCGATCATATACACCCGAGTGGTTGGCTTGAGTGGAATGGTGATTTTGCGCTGGACACATTGTATTATGGCGAGTACATGAACTTTGGGCCAGGAGCAGCCGTTGGGAAACGGGTTACTTGGCCGGGATATCGGGTCATCAAGTCCGTGGAAGAGGCCAGTAAGTTCACTGTAGCAAAGTTCATTTATGGATCATCTTGGTTGCCTTCAACAGGGGTGGCCTATTTGGCAGGGCTGAATACTTAAGGAAGGTAAACCAAACCTACTCCAGAATGGATATTTATGGTTTTTGCAGTGGTATATAAATAAGTATACATATCTGAATAGTATTTAATTTCAAATTCTAATAATTAAGCCGTTAAATTGCAATTTGCTCCATTGCTAAATTGACTAAAGAGCAAACATCCTAGAGTTTACGTCTTTCATTGAATGATAAGTGTTGTAATTTATTTTTGTTGTAATTAGAACATACTATCAAAAAGCTATTGGTTCAATTGAAAAAGTGACAGTTTTACATTCGGACACGACTAAGATTCGATTATTTGAGTTTTAAATTGATGGTTAATTTTGTGGATGTGCCTCTACATTCTTTTCCCCTTAAATAAATGTATGGCTTTCATTAGATGCCCTACGTTGGTGGCTTTAAACTGTTAAAATGCATAAATGCAAGAGGAATTTTCATAAACCACTATTGTTAAGTGGTTATTAACTTTCTATCGCTATCATATACATAATTACTTTCTATAGCTACTATCAGTTGTTACGATGGTGTATTCGCTGTATTCGCGCTGCTGTATTCATGAATACAGCAGCAAAAAGCGCCTAAAAATCAGGGTAGTCCAACTGTACGCGCATGTATTCACATGTATTCGCGCCATGTATTCTTGAATACAGTAGCAAAAAGCGCCTAAAATCAAGGTAGTCCAGCTGTACGCGCATGTATTCACATGTATTTGCGCTGTTGTATTCATGAATACAGCAGTAAAAAGCGCCTAAAATTAGAGAATGTCCAGCTGTACGCGCATGTAAGGGCCTAAAATCAGGGCAGTCCAGCTTTCGTGCATGTATTCACATGTATCCGCGTTGCTGTATTCATGAATACAGCAGTAAAAAGTGCCTAAAATCAGAGCAGTCCAGCTGTATGCGCATGTATTCACATGTATTCGCGCCATATATTCATAAATAAAGTAATGGAAATCACCTTAAAAATAGGTATGTCGAGTTGTCTAAGAGGGATAAAAAATATAAATATCGTATTTCATGTCTTGTTTCATGCCTCAATGGTAGTATATATCATAAATACTTATTTTGCTATAAAATATAAAAGATAGCTATAGAAAATAATTTTTTAAAATGATTTTTAATTTATAATAAATAGAATGTATACCTTTGCTATAGGAGGTAAAATTTCCTAAATGCAATAGGACTTGTGCAGGAGTCGGTAAAGATGCTTAGTAAAAATGTCTTTCTTGTAAGATGATTATAGAATTTTGATCAATTCTATTCCTCCCCCCCCCCCCCCCCCCC